AAACAGGTACAAACGAAGTACAAACGAACTAGATTAGTGATTTTTTTTTAAAATAAAATTGGGCGCCAAGTTCACATCGGTTAGGCGCTTTAGAGAAACTTTCTTTTTAAAGTTCACAAACAATACAGATATATATTCTGTTTTTGTCATCTAAACTGATTAAGTAATTACATATGCAATATCACAACAGTTGCTAATCATTTATCTGTTTTAGTTAATTTTTTACACCTAGAAAATTTTAGCTATTATTGCAAGATCATTTTTTTGAGTGATCTATTCTTCGAAATGAACATTTAATTGAATTTTATTAAACACAGAAACGTTTTGTATCAATTTCATGATTACTATTTTGCAATTCGACAATTTCAAACAATGCGGTGGCAAATTAATTTGCAACTAGTAAATAATTTAGTTTTTAAACATTTTTAACAATTACATTTAAAATTACTCGATGTGAGAAAACTCGCGTTAAAGATGATACATTACAAAGTACACCAAAAGAAAAAGACAAAGAATAAGATAAAAAGTATCCCCAGGATATTATACAAGTCACGTATAAAGTTTCAGAAGTGTTTCTTTTCAACGAGTACCGCGCAGTATTTTCATTACTCATATCACGTCGTATCGATCCACGTGTATTTCTTTCATCTATCCTATTAGCTGTATGTTCGTCGTCATTAAAAATGATGGAATGTACAATCCTTCACCAATGAGACCCATTCCTTTCATGTTGTTCTAATGCACACGACATCGCCGAGCACATTTTTATATATATAGCCCACAATAGTATTTCTTTATTAAAAGTCAAAAAAGATCGTTCGCATTTCCTCGAGAATATATAAATTAATAATTAATAATTATAGATGTATCAGGCTCTGATAATTGTTAAAATCAATAAATTTGATAGGAGCGTAAAGAGCCAACAGCCAGATATTCGTGCGAAGGTTATCGTGTATTAATTTATAACCATTGAACAATACATTAAAGAACAAACGTTTCAGCCTGTCATCAGGCCTTTATCAATGTTATTACAAATTCAATAAATACGCAACGCAAAAATTAAATACAAAAAACGAAGTAAATTGACATAATTAACTGAAGAGTAGTTAAAACCACGTTAAAACTGTAATAAAAAAGAGCCAAATGAGAAAATTCCCGTTACAAATTGAGCGCAAACAGAAAAAAGAAACAATTTTTACATACT